TCCAAACAACATCAATCTTAATAACCACTATTAATCTTGTATTTAATCACTTATAATATATATATATTATTATTCATTAAGGCTGGAAGTGAAAAACGCCTTATATTCAGGTGTGCAAAATTATTAAGCAGGTTATCTTCTACAGATAAATCTCGAGATGGACTAAAAATGAACTCCCAAAACTTACATCTTTGCGAGACAAACATTTTCTCCACAAAACGCACCTTTGCGCGCTCAAAATATGATCTTTCGCGCGCAGAATTGCGGCAGAAATGTAATCCCATAGGCCTAAGTGTAAAATGCACGGCCCGCCACTGATAGTTTTACATGTCCTAACATTTTAAATGGTTCTGTGGTGTAATAAATTAATGTTTAAAAGCATAAATAATTGACAGGGTCTCCCAATTAATAATAGCTCATAAAACTACATGTATAGCAATAATACAATTTGAGAATGTTTTTAAAACATAAAATATATCTATATTCTCAAAAGTATTTCATGTCAACTACCCATTTAAACTATATAACCATCTAGTATGTAACTCTGCTTTGAATGCAATTTTTGCTCTCTGATAAAAGAGTAATGAAAAATAAATTTACAAAATGTCATTGTCCCAATGATACTATCAAGGTTTGTTTACTTTGGCAGCATGCTAGATAGAAGCTTATCAGCTCTGCACTTTTCTATTGTGAGCTGATTGGTTCTCTCCTCCACGACTTCTTCCAGATGACTGGCATATTTCTCCAGTTTGCTCACCATGTTGTCCAGGATGTTGGCATGGCTGGGAAATTGATAAAACAGCCCAGAGTAAAAAAAAAGAATATATTTAGGGGTGTCACGATCATTGGACAGACAGCTACATAAAACGTGCACCTTTCAGGACATGCCTGACGCAGTTGTCTCCTGATACTGGTGAATGGGGGTCTGTGGTCTGGGTTCTCACTCCAGCAGGCTTTTAGTAAAGGGATGAGACGTTCATCACAGATGTCAGCAGACAAGGTTGGTCTAAGGGGCTCGTCGCTCATGGGGGTTCTTAACTGCTTGATAATCTCTAATGAATAAAATACAAAAAAACTAAATAAAAAAACACACACACACACATTCTAAGAGGCCAAACCTAAAGGGATAGTTCACCCAAAAATGAAAAATTTGTCATTATTTACTCACCCTCATGTCGTTCTAAACCCGTAAGACCTTCGTTCATCTTCGGAACACAAATTAAGATATTTTTGATGGAATCTGAGAGCTCTCTGACCCTCCCATAGACACAAGTGCGTGTCTACATGGTGGCCAAGGGTGGCACCGGCCCCCCCTGAAATTTGGCTGGCCACCCCAGGTGCCCCCCCCCACCAGATGTCTCCTCCGCATCACCCTAGCGTAAATTGTGTATGCTGTTTTGTGTCAGCTGTGCCACGCAGATATGCTGTTTACGTCGTTTACGCTTTGATTTGAACGAAAACAACGTATCCGCGTGGCACAGCTGACACATTTACGTTCAGTGGATACTCTCCAAAATGGCGCTAGGGTGATGCGAAGGAGACGAATTGTTGAATAAAGTCGTTATTTCTTTTTCTTTTGCGCTTAAAAAGTATTCTCGTAGCTTCGTAAAATTACGGTTGAACCCCTGGTGTCACATGGATTATTTTACCGATGTCCTTGCTACATTTCTGGACCTTGATCGTGTAAGGACCCTTGCTGTCTATGGGAGGGTCAGAGAGCTCTCAGATTCCATCAACAATATCTTAATTTGTGTTCCGAAGATGAACGGAGGTCTTACGGGTTTGGAACAACATGAGGGGGAGTAATTAATGACAAAATTTTTGGGTGAACTATCCCTTTAGTCCAATTGGTTAATCAAAATGGAAAATTGGTTGCCAT